AAATTCAATAATAATAAAAAAATTACCCCAAAGGATAGTAAGTTTGATTTATGTTTTCTTTACCAGCCACTTTTATTTCATAAACCCGACGTTTGCATTAAATGCTATTAAATAAAAACAAGATTTTACCGTATTTGCAATAACTTGGATCTCGATGTGATCATTGGAATTAGCTCAAGCAAACATGCCATTTCTCATTGTTTTATTTATTTATTTATTTTTAAAGATTTTATTTATTTATTTATTTGACAGAGAGACAGACAGAAGAGCACAAGCAGAGGCAGTGGCAGAGGGAGAGGGAGAAGCAGGCTCTGCATCAAGCAGGGAGCCCGATGCGGGACTCGATCCCAGGACCCTGGGATCATGACCTGAGCCAAAGGCAGACGTTAACCATCTGAGCCACCCAGGCGCCCTCATTGTTTTATTTCGTCTTCTAAATCAGCTACATCTTTACTGCCTTCTTCCGGTTGAGTAAAACACTCCCCGCTAAATTTGTGGTTTTGAGTTCCTGAAAATGGTATCTGTGGCTTTGAAGGCCCTTTTCATCTTGAGCTTATTAACTGGGATTCAGGACGGAAGGGAAATGGCAGTCAGCCAGTAAACACAGCAACCCTTGAAGGAAATGTGAAGGGCTCACGTTCAAGAGAAAAAAACACTCATTCTGCGTGGCTCTGGGCGTAGGGCGGGGTGCAGGCTGAGGACACTGGTGGGAGATATCCTCTGACATGCACGTCATTAGGAAAACTTCCCCAGCCCGAGAGGCCCCCTGAAGGTGGTGGGGCCCCCATCACCCGGGCGACCCGAGCGGAGACCACCACCACCCTGGCCCATCTGCTAATTAAATGACCCACTGGTGTTAGTGGCCTTATCTGCCTGGAATTAAAGTTTCTCCTCCGAAATGGCATTGTCATAGAAATGTTCTGGAACTAGATAGAGGTGATGGGTACACAACACCGTGAATGTACTAAATGCCACTGAAATGTATACTTTAAAGTGGTTAAAATGGTGAATTTTATGTTGTATACATTAGACCACATACGAAGAAATAGATGACATCATTGGACAGAATGACCTCCAAGGCTTCTACCTGCTGTGACAGGTTATGTTTCTGGGGGAGAGCACATCGCCTAAGACCGACCACCACACCCCATTTAGTCAAAGACAGGCCACGGAGACACTCAACTGAGGGGGGTAGCTGATTAAATTATGGTTCGGGCTTAATACCGAATATCACACATCCATGAGAAATTCTGCTCCTGAAAACATATTTAATGCCATGGGAAGACACTTGGGATGTCACGTAAAGCATAAAAAGAAGGATTTACGCTTCGTGTAATGTGATCCTAACTTTACAAATATAGATAAGAAACCAAAACACAGTGGTTTTATCCCTGAGCTGTGGATTACAAATGATTTAGATTCTTTTATACATTTCTCAAAATGTCTACAAAGAGCATGGGTGACTATTATAATCTAAACACACTATTTAAAACACAACGTAAGGGGCGCCTGAGTGGCTCACACGTTAAGCGTCTGCCTTCGGCTCAGGTCGTGATCCCAGGGTCCTGGGATCGAGTCCCACATTCAGCTCCCTGCTCGACAGGAAGCCTGCTTCTCCCTCTCCCACTCCCCCTGCTCGTGTTCCCTCTCTCGCACGCTCTCTCTCTGTCAAATAAATAAAATCTTTTAAAAACAAACAAACAAACAAAAACACAACGTAAATAACAGTACTTTGGATTCTGTGACCCCCACCCCGTGAATCATGCCGTGCTTTCGAGCGATGGATTGGCAATGGACACGCTGGAAGGACTGGTTGGAAGGACGGATTTATAATTCTGGTTCAGCTGTGGCAAACCGCAGGGACTCTCGGTTTCTTCATCTGGAACAGGGGCATAAAAATAACAGTCACTTCACAGGGCTGTGTGAAGAGCGGATGAGACAATGAAGATGGGACGACTGATTGGGAAGAGTTCTGAGCTCTCTTCATTGGCACTGAGCGCGTTCAAACTGTACATTTCCAAATCTTCCCTCTAACAAAAACTTAATGAGTGCTTATAAAGTCAGTGATTGCCACTTACCCAGTAATTTAAGAGCTAATCTCCAGTAATACTGCTACTCTTTTCTTAACTGTCTTCCTATAACCTTCATGCGAAGACATTTCATTTTGTCTGAAAAGTAACCACCTGACTTTTATTTACTGTTCTTGAATTCAAGGAGACGATGATACAACCGGCTTAGCTGGAGGGAGACGGCACCCCCCCGCCCCGGGAAAGGTGTTTCTCCCCAGGAATCAGGCCTCTCCTTGGTGGGCGAGGCTTTGTTTCCCCAGAACCATCCACACACGGCTGAACTTTACGAAGGGTTTTCCTGGGGCGCCTGGATGGTTCAGTCAGTTGAGCGTCTGACTTCGATTTCTGCTCAGGTCATGATCTCAGGGTTGTGAGATTGAGCTCCACGTAGTCAGGCTCTGCGCTCAGCGGGGAATCTGCTTGGGAGTCTCTCTCTCTCCCTCTCCCTCTGCCCCTCCCCTGACTCTCTCTCTCAAATAAATAAATAAATAAATCGTAAAAAGTGGGGGAGGGTTTCCTTTGTGCTGCTCTGGTTCTCTCCTCTGCCTGTCCTTGCTTTGAGACCCATGCCATGACCCACCTCGAAGGAACTGTGAACAGAATTCACAGGACTTGGCTCACACAAGGAGGTTCTCTTCCTTACAGGCTGACTCCTTAATCCAGAATGAAGAGAAGACTATTAGGGCAGGGCTGTCAAGCTTGCTGTTTCTCTATCAAACCTCTTCCCCATTTAGAAGACCTTATGATGTACAAAATATTATAACCTTGATGTTTTATTTGAGGCCTGCCTTGCCATTAAAAGCAAACTCCCAATTCAACAAGTTCAATGAAACATTTCCCAAGCACCTAAACGATCCAGGTTGAAAGATTTGGAGTTGAATGAGTTTGAGTTGAATGAGTTAGAGTTGAATGAGGTGTGAGGGAGGGATTGGCGTCTAGACAAACGCAGTGCCGCTTGAGCAGAGGAAGCAGGGAGCAGGTCTGAGAAACAGGAGTGGGACCTGGAACAGAGTCATCAGCATGATCAAGGAGACATCTGAGCTGGCTCTGGAAGTGGAAAAGAAATGTGCCAGGCAGCCAGGGCCAGGGGACGGCCTCAAAGGCCAAGGAAAGAGGGTACAAAGATACCAAGATGGCCCGACTTGGTGACTGATGGTGTGCTTGGAAGTGGGAACGCAGGGGATGAGGCCATTTAATAAGAAAAAAGTAGAAGCTGGCCTTGGTATTGAGCTCAATACCAGGCGACATGGTTCTAATTTTCCTGGAGTTAGCTGGTTGGGCAGTATTTACTGACCAAGTACAACGTGCTCAGGGTTCTGTCTCAGGAATGGACGCAGGTTATGGCTGGAAATGGTCACACCAGTTCCTAGACCAGCTGTGGGCGGCACAGCAGAGGGGAAAGTGAGATGAGCTGCAAGGGCAGAGAGAGGCACCAGGTGTGGAAGAGAGCTGGGTGTCCAGTGGGCACCAAGTCTCTGGTCCAGACCAGACCAATGGGCAGCAGGGTGGGGTGGCAGGGAGTGCCCAAGGCCTCTGAGGGTATAATGTGTCTAGGGCAGTGATAGGAAATGAGGAGGTTGGAGAAGAAATCAAGAGGGGCCTTGAGTGCCAGAGTGAAGAGTATGAACCTCATTGTAGGCACTCGGGAATCAGTGAAGAGTTGTACTAAGGGGCAGCCAAGCCAGGTTTGCTTTAGAGGAGGTGCCTCAAGGGGCGCCTGGGTGGCTCAGTCAATTGGGCATCCAACTCTTGACTTCAGCTCAGGTTGTAATATCAGGGTCGTGGGATCGAGCCCTGCATCAGGCTCCGTGCTGAGCACTAAGCGTGGAGCCTGCTTGGGATTCTCTCTCTCCCTCTCCCTCTACCCCCACCACTTGCATTCGCTCTCTCTCTCTAAAAAAAGATTTTTAAAAATAAGAAAAAAAAAAAAGAAGAGGTGCCTCAGTGACAGTGTCTATGGGTCTATGGATGGGAAAAGCTGGAGGCTATTGATAGAGCCTAGGAAAGAGGCAACGAGGCCCAGTGGGGGAGAGCAGAGCTGGTTTCAAGAAATACTGAGGAGTTAGGACTAGTGGCAGGGACAGAGGGAGAGGAGGACTGGCATTTATCCTGACATTTCCTGCTTAGGTAGTTGGCAGGTGGGGGTGACATCCAAGGAGATGGGGAATACAGATTTGGGGTGAGGGAAATGGGCATTTCGGTCTGGGGTGGCTGGGGGCCAACCTGAAGATGCAACAGGTGGTAGTTGGATATGTGGGTCTGGAGGTGAGAAGAATATTCCAGGCCAAAGGTGGATATGTGAGAGTTACCAGCTGTGGAATTTTCTTGAGTATCAGAATAATTTCAGGATAAAATATCCAGACTCAGGAATTACAACACTATAATCATATTTTTTGCATATGTTCCAAATAAGAAAATAGTTCAGCCCGAAAACGTAATTGTGCCTATTCCTAGAATTGGATAACTGATGTATCTTTGCAAATTGTTCATTGAACTGTGCTTCTGGTTTCTTGCCAGCCCTCAATGAGATTTTTATATTTCTTAATTATTCAATTACTACCCACAAGTAGGAGTTTGAAATCAAACCTAGGCTGCTCCGTAATAGAATATTCTCTTGACTCACGAGCGCGGTAAAGGAAGATGTCCAGATTGGGGATCCAGGGTGGGAGAACAGAGCAAGTGTAAGCTTCCGGTCCTGGCTCTGTCCTGGGTTCGAGTCCTGGCCTTGCCACACACTAGCTGTGTGAGCTTGGGGAGCTGGCTTCTCTGAGGTCAAGTTTCTGGTCTGCACGATAGAAATGGTGAGAGCGCTCACAGCTCCTGAGGTTGCTGTGAATGTAGGGAAAGGAGACTAGGTGAGGGAAGGTGCTCTGCCTACCGTCAAGCCCGCTCCAGAGGTTGGTTGTGTCCCTAATTGCTTGTGCTCCTCAGGTCTCAGCAGCTCAAGCAGCCACTAGCCGTGAAGGAAGATCCTTCCGACAGCGAGCCGGCCAACGCCTCCGACAGCAACCGCAATCCCGAAGCCCACCTGCCGTCCATCTGCCTCAAGCAGGTGTTCCCCAAGTACGCCAAGCAGTTCAACTACCTGCGTCTGGTGGACAGAATGGCAAATTTGTTTATCCGGTTCCTGGGAATCAAGGGGACAATGAAGCTGGGGCCAACAGGCTTCCGGACTTTCATAAGGTCAGTGAGACCAGCCCCTCTGGCCTGGGATTCGGGCAGGGTGCAGTGCGGCCCCACATCTGGCTGGTCCCCCCCACTCCCCGACTGCTCCTGGGAGAGCCTGTCTGTGCTGCTGGGTCAGCGCCCCGACTGGGGTCGGATTGCTCCGGTGGCTGGCACCGTCCACTCCTGTTTGCTGAGTGGCAAACAGGATGTGACAGACGGGACGGCATTAAACACAATGCGGTGCTGCCTTGAACGAGGTCCTTAAACCACATAGAAATTGCCGTCCCTTGGACTCAGACAGACCTTGCGTCTCTCAAGCTGGGGTGAGGTTCTCCCAGTGGTATGTGACAAAGAAACAAGGCACATCTGTCCCAGGTGTCCATTTCAGGAGAGAAAAGTTAAATAATTCAGTTGATAAATAATTTAATGTATTTGTCCTAATATAAAAATAACATGATTATATCATCAAGTACAATACAAAATTGGCATGAATTTTGAACATGAGACATGAGATAAAGCAAGCGTGTTCTCACCATAGCCTGCACTATAACCCATGACCGTTCGTTCACTTGCCTCTACTCCCCGGGGCACTTTGGGGTGACACAGGAATAAGTATCTGAGGCACTACTTACTAGGTGTGTAACTCCTGGGCAAGTTAGGGACCATCTCTGAGTCTCAGATATCCTAGAAAATGGGGAGGAAGCCACCTACACGCCAGGAGTGGGGTCCCCCACCTCGCAGCAACTATCTGCCAGCATTCGATGTCACTGCTGTTTCGCTCATCATTGGTTTTAATATTTCGACCTTTGCACCTAAAGTCACATCCTTCATAGTTTTATTCACTAAAGCAAATGATTCGAAGCCTTGAATCGGAAACATTTTGTCATACGCTTTTCTCCAAATGAACTGTATGACTTCTAACTCTGGCTCTCTGATGTTCCTGATGGGATGGTACACAGAAGAATCGGCAGGAATCCTTGCTGTTTCAGGGAACCCGAGTTAGGACTTGCATGGTGCTTTGGAGAAGGGCTCTGCGTTTGCTGGGGGGGGGGGGGGGGTGGGCAGGGAAGGAAGCCCAGTGGAAAGAGCACAGGCCTTGGGTCTGGCTTCAGAGCCAGGCGTGTCACTTAATAGCTGTGTGGCTTTGGGCAAAGCCCTCCCCTTCTCCAAGTCTCGGTTCCCTTGTCTGTAACATGGGAATAATCTCTCCTGCCGATCAGGGTTATTACGAGGTTGGGATGTAATACATCCTAAAGCACCCGGCCCAGAGCCTACTTGACAGGAGCTGTTTGTTAAGTGGGGGGTCTTGTGACTATTATTTCCATTAAGCAATGGGAATTCTCAAGAAAGTCAACAGACACATGTTGTTATTTCCCTGAGAACACTACCCGATACCTTCTGACTTGTCTGGGAATTGCATCTGACTCGTAGTAATAGATACACATCTGTAAGTGGTTTAAAATAGTGAGATTAATTTTCCCTCATATAATAGGAAGTTTGGCATGGGGGTCCTAGGGCTCATTAATGACTCCACAATGTGATCACAGCCCACTTTCTTTCTGTCTTCCTGTTCATCCATCCTAAGCATGGGCTTTTCAAGCTTCGGGATTGCCTTACAGTCACAAGATAGCTGCTCAGAATCCAGCCATCATGGTCGAGTTCCAGGCAGGAAGAACGAAGAAGGGAGATGTCAGATGCTTCCCTCTAACTCCTAATAAAATTCTACTGAAACATAAGAGACGGGGGTAGGTGAAGATTTGAAAAAAATAACACACCATAAGAATCACAATCTCAGTTGCCTCCAGGGGTAGGCTGGAAGCAGAAGCCAGCAGGTGGGATCTGGAAGGAAGGGGGCCCAGGGTACGGCGGGCATGAGAACACATGCCCTGGCTAAAGGAAAGGCTGTGCTGGGGGAGTATCACCAGAGCTTTTGATTTTTCAAGAGAAGCTAGAAATGCTGATTTTTATGTAAAATCCCAATATATGTCTATTGATGTTGGCGATTCAGAAAATAATTTTTAAACACCATGTGGGTTCAGTCAAAGTGTGACTACCCATAGAGACCACCGATGTGTGAGCGTTGGTGTGAGAGGCGAGGGACATACTAAGAGGACTGCTATGTTCATACCTGATTTTAGAAGAAACAGAATTGAGAATGGTCCTAGCAAAGGGGATTCCTAAAACACTCTCAGACTGGAACTGGATGATGTCAAAAACATCACTACAAATCTGTCCGTATGTGATAGACTTTATGATTCTTTCCATCCTTTTTTTTCTCTATAATTAAGGGCATTTGCTGTAAAATCGATTTTTGGGAGGTTCAAGACCCTTAGGTCCTGTACCATTATTCCCAATCTGCCACCAGCACTGTCTGTGGGAGTGATGGTGACCATGGCGACCGCGAGGAAGGAGAACAATGTCTTCAGGTGGGGAGTAGGCGGCCGGAGGAGGACTCGGACAATGAGCCCCTCTCCCCTCCCTCCACACCCACCCAGCCAACGTCCTGCCTAATTAAGGATGTGGGAAGAAGTGGAGAAAATGTTGCACAACCATTAATAGATTTTTCCTTTTGAAATATACCGAGAGATTCCCAACAGCAACTTAATCGTGAAAGATGATATTCTCTGAGCTTAGATTTATCGAAGTATGTTCAGTCTTGCCAGCTAAATTTAACAGCAAGCATTTTCTCTTGCTAACAACCATTCTCTCTCTCCTTTCCATTTCGGTTTAAATTTTGCTTCATTATGAATTAATAATATTTATGCCATATGTTAAATCGAGCCAAGTGCCCTTCTCTGGAGCACTGCGCAAGAGACATATTTGCTGGCTAGATATATACTCCTCTCAGATCTCCCACACAAACGGCAGAAGCTGAACTTGGCTTTCACCTGGACGACCCACTCTTTCTCTCCGAGTTCCTCAAAGAGAACTGGAGGGAACAAAATAAACATCCGACCGAATTTATTTTCAGTGACCATCTCTCATAATGTTCTGCATAGATCAGCAGTTTTAGGAGTGAATTATGCTAATGATAGTCTGGCCACATTCTATTTTTCTTTTCTACCAAGAAATGAGAAATAATGAACTGTCGTTCCCTTGTCTAGACTTAACTCATCGAACCAGCTTTTCGTGTCGTTTCCTCAGGAGGCACATAAGACTAGCACATATTACCATGAATCAAGCGCCTCTTTTCTCTCTCTCTCTCTCTCTCTCTATTTTTATGTCATAATAATTCCTGGGGTGTGGAGACTTCTCTTTCTCTGAGAAATAGCAATTATCTGATTCTTCAATTTGACAGCTTTCTTTGAGGGAAATGCATTTTTGCTAGTTTCCTTCCATTGGATTACTAATCTGGGGGGCATTCTATGTAATTCACTAAGAACACGTTCTGCAAATGTATCCTCCATCAGAATCAGACATCAGTTTGCACGTGCTGCATTTTCCATTTCCACAGCCTGCAGATTAAAGCTTTTGCCAAAACTGGGTTCATTTCGAGGAAATGGAGGCAGCTTCTCCGCACCTGGAGCATTTGCTTCCTGCTTCACGCGAGGCCAGTCCGCTTGGAGAGCCCTGCTCGGGCCCTTTGTGGTTTCTGATCCTGCTCTCCTTTTAAATTAGAGAATGGTTTTTCTCTTTTTTCCTTTTTTTCCCCTTCCACTCCCTTTTCTCATAGGGAGATATTAATATGTTTCATAATGGGTAGCTGTGGGGGGTTTTATGCTCTGAGAGGCAACATGGTGTGTTAGAATGTTCTGGAAGAGAAGTGTAAAGGGCCTTCTCTCCCCCTCTGTCATTAACTCCTCTGTGACTTTGAAAATCCCCCTGTTCTGTGATGATCTCTTTCCAGCAATAGTGTGAGAGCCTATGCCTGGGATATCAATAGCCTTTAAAAATATATATGTTATAAACCAGAGTTGTCGTTTTCTCCTCCGATTTAGTGTTGGGTTTTTTTTTTTTATTAACAAATATTGATCATTTGTTAGCTTTCACCTTATAGAAAACTTTCCAGGAAAAATAAGCTTCTTTTCTTTCACAGAGAAGGATGAACACAAAAGAAATTCTATAAATAGGATTTTATGGAGTGGAGAAGTTGGTTTCTAAACTCCCCATGAGATGTCAGTAGTTGTTGAGAGAAAATGGGGATGATAATTTCAGATCTTTCTATACTCGGGCTCCTAATAACCTTGAATGATTTGTGATTATCTCCCATCATATGTGCCCAAATTCCTTTGATTCTGGGGAAAAAACAAAGAACAAAAAACATTTCTTCGAAGTGGTTCTACATCATGGAGGAAGGCTGGGAGCTGTCATTTGCTACTTCCCTGTACGTACCAGGCACTGAACTAGTCCTTAAAATGGCTTTGAATGGTGAGTAGCCTTATCCTCATTGTACAAATAAGGAAAGAACCTCAGTGACTTGTTCAAGGTCACATAGCAAAGTCAAGATTCAAATTCATGTGCATTTGACTCAGAGCTCTTTTTTCCCATACACCTTTCCAGCCTATCCTTTCTTAAGAATTGTCCTGGCTTCTCTTGTTACCATATTTCTTGGACTTCTCCTCCACTGAAGAATTTATCCCTCCACTCCTTAGTTCATTTGAGGAATTTCATCCCAGGGCATAAGGGGAAATGGTTCAAATGATTAAGAGCTACCAAGAATTCACATTTTTATCCCAGACTCTGAGATCACTTCCACCCTCTGAGAGTGGCATCCAAGACGGATTCAGCCCTGTGTCACTCACTGGGCTCAGAGTACCATCTACGCATAGTGAACACAAAATACATTCTGTATTGAGTGGATGGATAGATGAAAAATTCATTCTAAAGTCTTGACCCTCCAAACAAGGAGGCCTTCCCTGTTTGGGTCAATTGAGAATGTCTGGTCACTATAGGGACAAACCTAGGAGACTCTCCCCAAGTGACCCTGGTTGACTTCCCCCAGCCCTATATCCCAAAGCTTCCCAACAGGTCTCTCTAGAGGCTCTGGCCTTACTGGGCCCCACCTGAGACTATGCCTTGAGTCCTGGGTTCTTCCTATGGTCCTGGGTTCTTCCTACGGCCCTGGGCTGGGTCATCTCCCAACTTCTCCCCAAATCTCCAGGGGAGGACTGGATGTGAATCCCCGCTGCGTGATCTTGGGCAAGTCAAGTTCCTTCTCTTGAGTCTCAGCTTACCTGTCATTGAAATGAAATTAAGAATACTTCCATCACAGGGTGGTTATAAAGATCCAGAGAGCCAACGGACAGGAAAGGGCCTGGCCTATGGATGGGTGCCCAAGAAATGCCTACAGAATCAAAATTCTTTTAAAGCGTTTCCTGTCTCCTGCAGCCAGCATGGATCCCCCCTTCCCCTGTCCGGGCACCAGATGTAGCAACCAACTGTGTTTGCAGGCATCACTAGGGAGGATGAGTTACCTTGGAACAGGGATAAACGGAGAATTCTCTTTGGTAAATTACGGCTCCTGCTAAAGGTTTGACACTTCTATTTTCTACCTGTCAGAAAAAAAAAAACTATATACCAGTGGTCAGTTTGGTTTCCCTTTTTATACTCCATCACCCCACAGAGCAAGCCGGGCAGAGCTCCTGTCCTGTGGGGGAGCAGGTAGTCCAGAGCACACCGATATGATAATTAGGGGAACGCGGTGGCCCTTCCTAATGAAGCTTTGAAAATGAGCAGTGCAGGCTGTCGGCACACCTTGGGAGAAGCTGGAGCATTGTCCGCAGTGGAACCCAGTAGAGATAGCCATCTGGGTGACACGCAACATGAAAAGCTCTCCGTCCGTTGACATGTTGTTACCGGGGCTCAATAACTGTGCGCTGATATGTTTGAAGTCTGCCACCGGTGACTTGTGATTGACATATGGAGCAGGAGCCCAGGAGGCAGCAGGATGTGAATTGATGGCCTGAGAAATACTAGTGGGGAAGACAGGAAGGAAGAGGGAGGGAGAGAGCGAGCAGGTGCGCTGGCACGTAAAGAACACCAGTCTCGTCTGGGCACCATGCCGGGCACACTCCCAACCACCACCGGCAGGGGTGTGCGTGGGTTTGGAGAGGGGTTTTGGGGTGCCCGAATCCTGCGTGCCAATCAACCCCTCTTCTGTCGGGTTCCTAAGGGAGCTATTCACACGAGGGCTGATGACAAATGGGAAATCAAAGAACCACTTTATCATTAGCTGGGGCAGTGAATGAGGGCACGTTCGGAGAGTTGAAAGCAGCATTGAATGTAGTTCAGCCAAACAGACAGCGGGCCCAGAGGTCTAGCTTCAGGATTCCGGGGGTAAATCGAGTCTGTGTTGGGACTCACTTCCCAGCACGACCCTGTTCAGGAAGGTGGTGCATCTGGACAAGCCAAGGGCTACCTTTAGTCTGGACAGAGAGCCCGGGCTCTCGTACCCAGACAGTCTGACTGGCGAGCACCATTTCTCCAGAATGGACAGGGCCACTTGCTGAAAGGTCAGCCCCAAGCAGCCTCTGAAGTTCCCGCTTTCTAGCTCTGGAAGAGGAAATGGGAAAGGGGTGAGAGATCAGGAGGAGAACCAACAATTGTGGGCCACCTGGGTGCCAGGCACCATGCTGGGTCCTTGGCATGCGCTGCCTCATCTCATCTTCACCCCCGCCACGTGGGCGGATATTCTTCTCTTCTTTTTAGGTATCAGCAAATAAAGGCACTGAAGGTTTGAGTAAATGCTCACAGCCGCACAGCTAGAAAAAGCAGCAGAGCCAGCATTTCAATCCTGGTCTGTCTGATGCCCAAATCACGTTCTTTTCAGTGTGCCAGACTGCCTCCCCACATCTCCAGACCCAAAAAACACAAAAAACAAGAAACAAAACGAAACAAAACCAAGAGGGGAGGAGGAGGAGGATTGCAAACACGCCTCTATGCTCAAACCGGGAGCTGATGTGGGACTGAAAACCTGGTCATCTTGGCCTCTCTGCACCGGAGGAAATAAACTAGGGGAACCTCTGAAACTCTGAGGCCAGCCTGTCCCCGCCCCTGCCACTTCCAGATGACTCCCCAAAGTCAGGAATGAGCGTGGCGGGGTCCCGCAGCGATGTGCCTCAGCCCATGCAAAGGGGTGTGGGCCAGTGGCGCTCATCTGACGCTGGAAGTCTCGGGCTCGCTGTGGCTGTTCGGGTCCCATGTGAAATCTCGGGGGACAGATTTAGATGGGAGAAGTGCAGAAGCCTCAAGCCCCTGTCTGTAGGTTTGGGCCCAGGGACTCATCTGGTGAGCATTCCAGCGGGGAATCACTTCTGGATAGCAGCAATATCTTCTGTCTCAATCAGTGACATCAGTCGGGTCCGTTGGGACCCATCACTGGGTCCCATGAGTGTGCCATTGTCGGCCGATGGACACTGGTAAGAGAGCAGAGCACCCAGGTCCGGCTTTTCTTTCTCCTCCTAGAGACTAATGGATGTGGAGGTGAAGACATGCATAGGGTGTATTTTTGAAACATGGGATTCTCATTTCCCCCTCGGAGCAGGCAGAGACCTCCATTGGTAGGTGTTAGAACAGGCCAAAACACAGTGACTGCTTTATAAGGGAGGAGCCTGAGACTCAGGAAGGGGACATGGATTCACCAGGGCCATCAGCTTCGAAGTGGCAGCGCCAGATTCAACGCAAGACATGCCATGTTCAAGTCCTTGCTCTTTCCAGCCCTTTAGAATTGACCAAATGACAGAAACCCACCATGATCTAACCTTAACTTACATTTTCAGCCTTCTCTCCCACCCCCCCTGCCGTATGCCCACCACTAGTTCCAGCTGTGGGAAGGGAGGGCCTTCCAGGCAGGGGACCCAGCCCTGGCAAAGACATGGAGGCAAACCGGAAGAGGGCGCGCTCCATCTAGCAGTAACATGTCCCCACCCGTCTTTGGCAGGAACTGCAAGCTCAGCAGCAGCAGCTTGTCCATGGCGGCTGTGGACATCCTCTATATTGACATCACAAGGAGGTGGAACTCCATGACCCTGGACCAGCGGGACTCGGGTAGGTACCTGATTCCTGGCCTCCACCACGTCTAGTGGGAGTCCAGATGGGTGGGCGGTACCCTTTTGGTTCCTTCTTGTTCAGGGTCAAGGTTGGGGAAAGAGGAGGTTATCCTGTCAGCTCTAGACATTGCTGGAAGGATTGAGCTGAATTTGAATCCAGGAGCACTATCCTGAATTCCGATACCAAGGTGGTGCCCACTCAAATTCGAGTTCCACCGTTAGAATCTCTTGTTTCTGCTTAAGGCCATTCACGTGTTCATGCCTCAGCACACATGTACTACTGTGTGCTGGGCCAGGCCCTGGACAGATGGGAACGAGTAGCACTTGGCTCTCACTCGCTGTAGAGCAGGGAGGCAGAGGAGAGCCCAGCGCTGGCTTGGGGAGGGGTGCCGAGGGGTTATTGGGAGCCCAGCGGAGGAGCTCCTGTCGAGGGAGACCCAAGGAAGACTTCTTGGAGAAGGGTGAGTGGGGTCAGCCAGTGAACAGGGCAGCACGGACCCCTCCGGCAGGTGTGATCTGGCCGAGACACGGACACATGTGGAAGGCTCAGATAACCCCAAGAAGCTTGGAGGGGCTGGAAGGGAAGGGAGAAGGGGCAGAGATGGGGTTGCAAGAGCCATCGAGGCCTTGCATCCACATAAAAGAGTTTGCTCTTGATCCTCTAGATCAAGGGAGGGTGAAGGATTCCATTAGAAGGATCCACCTTGGGGTGACCGTGTTTCTGATCTTCTTCCTCACACAGTGTGTTTTTCCAAAAAGGCATAATAACCATACCTGACATTTGTATAGCTCATCGTAAAATTATACCGTGCTTCCCTGCATAGTCCTTCATTAAATGTCCCCATGAACCAATGCACTAGGTATCAGCGTTTGCATTTCACAGATGGTAGGGTGTAGCTCGGGTGACCGGGCACCCAGGCTTCCCTCCCCTGGGCTGCCTCCATGCAAAAGGGACGCCGGGCGGAGGGGGCGCCTCAGGGAGAGCTTTCTCCTGTGGTTTGGTGGAAAGGACGAGAAATCAGATTTTGGGAGAGCCAGATTACAATTGACTGTGCCGTTTTCTCCCCGTGTAAGCTTGGAAAACCATTCTGCCTCCTGTCTCCACTTCCTCTTCTGTAAATGGGGCCAACAGTCCCTGCCTGCCAGGGGCGCCCGGCGGTCTCGGTGTCCGTGGATAGGAATGTGGAGCCCTTGCTGACGGTACAAAGCGGCTCATCTTATTAGTGGCTGCTGCTTGGGGAGAATCCCGGGGGTGGGTCTGTGTGAGCGTGGGTTGCTCCCTGCCACATCCTGCCCCACACCCATGGGCTACAGCTTTTGACCGCAGAGATCATCACCCTTTAATAATGATGCTACCGGCTGCCAGTGGTTGGGCGAGTCCTACGCGTAAGCACTCTGCCGGGTGCTTCATGTGCACAGCCCTGGCTGGAATTCTGGAAGGAGGTAGAATCGCCTCCATTGCAGAGAGGAGGCTGAGGCTCAACAGCATAGATGGTGGGCACGGCCCAGCCCCGCCGTTTCCCTTCTGGGCTGCTTGATCCTACCAGTTGATCCCGGAGTAGGAGTAGGATGACCACCGAGCTCCCTACTGCTCTCCTTTCTTGAATTCAAGAGCAAAACTCAGGGAATACCAGTAGGCACTGAATCAACAAGGTGAGTTCCACCGCGTCTTGGTGGGTGGAGAGCCCTCACAGCCTTCCCTGGCAACCAGGAGAGGCTTGAGATGGAGCGTCTTCAGAATCAGGCAGATTAACGATCATGCCGAGGACGGAGAGCGCTCACATGACAGTTGAGCGGGGCGCTTTTCGCTGACGCCTTCAGAAAGTGAAGAACTGTTTGCTCTGTGAGTTGAACGCAGGGAGTCACCGCAGGATCCCGTGGAGGGGGCCAGAAGAGGGGGTGGGGGTGGCAGTGGAATTATTAAATATTGAAATTGATCAGGAGTAGCAGCAGGAAGCTATTTATCATGTTTTATTGCTTCAAACTAGCATTACCATCTGGCCCATTGTTCATTCTGAATAGCTTTTCATGTTTTGTTTGCCTCTTAAATTGCTCTCTGTAAGCAGAATCCACAGGGGCTGTCCACAGCAAGGCTCCGGTGAGGTTTTCTGGGGTCTGCCAGGATCTCTCCGTTCTGCTGACCAAGCTAAAGAGATGAGAATAATACTTATTTTTAGCACCTACTGACAGACGAATCCGGGGCTGGGATCTCCCAGGCCTGTTGCCATGCCTCAGTAACCAATCCTTAGCAGTGACTGTGATTTCGAGATTCCCTCCCCTGTGCATTATCTCCTTGCAGTTCCCGCACCAGACCTTCAAGGTGGGTAATTGTATCCCATTTTACAGATGAGCATCCTGAGGTTCCAAGAACAAGTGACTTGTCTAAAATCCCATAGCCAGTGAGTAGCAGAGCCCCCATTTGAAGTCAAGCCTCCTGCCTCCTGGCCCAGGATGCTGTCCCCCATCCAGGGCCCCCCCAAGCAGTGGTGTTCATTTGAGTGACTGGGGAGGGGACGGGGGGTGAAAGGTCAACTCATAGAGCGCAGGGCCTCTGGGAAGATGGAACTGGAGTGGGAGGTTAGTTGCCGGCGTGAGCTCCTGTCTCCCCTGACATCATCCTCAGAGCTTTAACTGCTGTTTCCATGGCTCCTGAAAGGAAATCACAGACTTGGGGGTGGGGGGGTACAGATAGTGGGGGCTGGGCATTACAGCCAGGGATGAGAAGGCTGTCTGTGCCCACGGTCTCAGGGGTCACTGCTGTCTGGCTGCTGGCAAAGCTGGGGCCCAGTCCTTGCTTCTGGAGAAGGCTGGTCTGACACCCCGATTCTTGAGGAGAAGGAGCTTCTGAAGTCAGCCGCATTCTTAGGAGCATTCAGGAAGCTCCGGAATAGCACAAGAAGACATTTGTTGTTGAGTGGTGGTTCTGCCTTTGGGCAAGTGTCAGCAGAAAGACCAGAGAGTCCTCCTTCCTTCCCTCCATGGTGCTGAGCCAAAGGATTCTCCTGTCCTCCGTTACAACTAAGTCCTGGCCAGAGATGTGGAAGCCAGGTCAGAGGGGGCAGCTTTACCCGTCCTGGAGCTGCCACGGGGCTGACAAGAAAGTAGTCAGAAGAGTGGTATAACTGGGCTCTCATTCTCAAAGGGCACTCATTCACTCATTCACCAAACAGGTAATGAACATGTTAGCAGGTATTGGGCTGCTGGGAATATAAATTATTTACAGATCCCACTCTTGAGAAAAAAAGTAATAGAGACCATTTACTGAACATTTACTATGTGACAGAAATACAAAATGCTTGTTATGAATTATCCCACACAGCCCTGTGAGATAAGAGTTTTTCTCCTATTTGACGGATGAGAAGCCTGAGGCTTCAAGAGGTGAATTTAAACAGGTGTGCCAAGTATGTCAGTGGGGACCCTGGGATTTGAACCAAAAGCAGTCTGCATTCAGAGCCCTTTGCCTTTTCATTACACCCAGTGTCTCCCACCACACAAATGAAAAGGACACGCAGTTGACCGTTGTCACAGGGTACGGCCAGAGCCCCAGTCAGGGAAGCAACAAAGTGGGGGTGCTGTGAGGATAAGAAAAAGAACATATACAAAGCCCTTAGCATGGCGCGCAACCCAGAAAAGGTACTCTCTACGAGTTCTGTACCCCTGAAGGCTAGCACAGGGCCCAGAGCATGCAACAGCATCATGCTCAGTGCCCAGTGAATGTTTGATGAGCAGACAAATAGCAATAAAAAAATGTCCTGCATCCCCAAAATAGGGTGTTCTGAGTGTGAGAGCCATGACTTATTGTAGAGCTGGTCTCATCAACAGTCTCCCTCCCCTCTCCGTAACATCCAGCAGAAAACATCAGCCTGTTTGGCTAAGAGCATCACCCCACACCCAGCACCAGCTGTGTCCAACTGCTTGGGCAAGGTCTCCTTTCTGGAAGCAAGCCCAGACCTCCCTTCTGCCCTCATGAGACTTCGGCACCCACCAAAGGGGTTAACCCGATTCCTGATATCTGAGACCTTAATGAACCCTTTATGTAACCTGCATGGGGAGACCCTACTACTGAAATGGAAGAAGAAAAATGGTGTTTGAAAGATTAGTGAGAAAAAACAATCAAAGCTAGTATTAAAAAAAAAGAATGCACATTATGAAATCTAAATCTCAGATCATCCTTTTATTTATTTATTTAAGATTTTATTTATTTGACAGAGAGAGACACAGCGAGAGAGGGAACACAAGCAGGGGGAGTGGGAGAGGGAGAAGCAGAGAGCCCGAAGCAGGGCTCTCCACTGAGCAGAGAATCCAATGCAGGGCTCGATCTCAGGACCCTGAGATCATGACCTGAGCCGAAGGCAGACGCTTAACGACTGAGCCACCCAGGCACCCCTCAGACCATCCTTTTAAACAGCCTTGTTTTCGATGTTTTTTTTGTTTTTTTTTTGTTTTTTGTCCGGAGCTCAAGTGCATAGAATTGGATTAACCATAATCTTTGGTTCATGAGAGCCTTCCATCCTGGTCCATGCATAACCCGCTTTTATTTAGTCAGCTTTTTAAATTAGTAATTTTTTTTTTTTTTTTAAGATTTTATTTATTTGACAGAGACAGAGATAGCGAGAGCAGGAACACAAGCAGGGGGAGTGGGAGAGGAAGAAGCAGGCCTCCCGCCAGGCAGGGAGCCCGATGCGGGGCTCGATCCCAGGACCCTGGGATCATGACCTGAGCCGAAGGCAGACGCTTAACGACTGAGCCACCCAGGCACCCTAAATTAGTAATTTTTAATAATGTAATAAGCATCCACGACTCACCACCCAAAACAAAAGCTAGGACTTGACAATAACCCACATCCAGCACGTGGCTCTCCCCCAACACCAGCCCATTCCCCGCCTCTTTCCACCCACAGAACCCTCATCTGGATCCTGTGCTCATCAGTCCCTAGATAGTCTTGCTGCTTCCTCTCTGTTAGAATGTCAACAACTACTTAGGAGCTTGATGGAATTT